TCGGCCCGGGGTCATTACTGTTTGCTCGATATCTACCACCACGACAAGAAGGTAGCCACAGGCTCAAAAATCCAGTGGCATTGCAGTTACCGTCAATCAGGCTGCGAATTATAGCATGAGCTTAGTAAATGAAGTCAGAAGAGGTAGAAGAGAAGCAAGCGTAGGAAAATACGGGGTGGTAATAGCGGTGGCGTACTTTCGCTTCTTCCTCCTATTGTATGCAGCATTTGGTGCGGCTAGTTGAAACTGCGCGATAGCTGGTGCAAGATGTGTGTGCATTTTGATGAAACAGCCACGCTTGTAAGTGGGTTGGGGCACTGCTGGACAACTAAACATAAGCAGGAGAGCTATTTGGGTGGTAAACCAACCCATTTGTTCCCCAAACCGGGCCACAAATAGCGGGGAGACGGCAACCATCCAGTCAGTCATAAATGGATGCTATCAGATATTACATCCGGGACCTGGAGGGCTACGAGACTGAGTTCTTCCCATCAGAAAACATGTATTAATATCTTGGGAGGAATAATGATGGAGTGTGACTACACCATCCGTTATAACTCTCTGACGCGAAGAGCTGCACAAACCATTGGACCAAGTTAAAGTTCAGCCCCAACAAGATGGTTTTCCTTGCCGAATTGTCACCTGAGTTGGCCTAGGTGGAATTCGTCTATAGATTTAACCGGCTCGTGGCAGGCGCATCGGAAACCAAAATCCATTGACTCAAAAAGAGGAAGTCTTTCTAAGGAGTAAGACTCGGAAATGCATGGCAGTAAGAGACTTGGCATGGCTCGCCCACGTAGCCTATCCCAGCGAGGACACTTCAAATGTCCATTCAACTCAAAGGAACCACTGCGTCAAACTCGTCCGGGAGGATAACTTGCAGAACCAACAAGACCTTGTGAAAATGTTTGCTATAACCCCAACTTCTGTACAGACACGTAACCAAACTTCGCTAGGTTAGGCGCAGAATTCCTGGTTTGCACACATCATGCAGGTTATCACAAATAGCACAAGAGGCAGCAAACGTTCTTGGACAACAAGTTGACCGTACCTTCCAAAGAGTGCAATCATCTTAAACCCTGTCTACGCCGACAATATCGCCAACAGGCCTTAACCACATATCTTTTACAAACACCTCTGTGGCGAAACGGCTTATGTATTTGTGTGAACACAGCTCCCCAGCTGCAGACGGGATTCTTCTAAAGGCGTTGAAATTATCTGCCATGAGTTTAGCTTAACCGTTAGAAATACTGTTTCAGCGATGTCTTAACGAGATGCTCCTCCCCACGATGTGAGAGCACGGGATCATCAGTCCAATCTACAAACAGGCTAGCGGTGCAGAATCAGCAAGATGTTTGCCCGATAACACTTCTTCCAGTGATCTTCATCATCATGGAGTCTATTTTAGATGAGGCGCTAATGTGGTACCTGGGGAGTAGCCGAATGCTTGTGCCGTAGCAGGACGGACTTCGCCAACATCGATCTGGCACTACCAACCTGTTGATCATTCGTGCATGCTAGACGGAGCCTGTGAATGGCGTTGTAGGAGTAGATGCAGTGTACTTGGATTTCTTAAAGCCATTCGACCGTCTGGACCATCGCATCCAAGTGTACAAGCTCAAGAATTATGGTATTGGCTGTCCTGTTCTGAGCTTGACAGGCGAATTTCTCCGTTAAGGTCACCTGAATGTGATGCTTTGCAGCATCTTATCCGAAACAACCGAAGTCCAATGCAGCGTACTCCAAAGCTCCATACTCCAGCCCTGACTGTTCCTTGTCGTCATAGATAAGCTCCTGAGGGTGTTGTCTCCGAAATGTCTGGGATCGGAATGACCGAGGTTTACCTCAAATTGAACTGAGGTCTCAAAAGAGGTTGCGTGTTGCAATCCAACTACCCAGCGGGTTCCGTAAGTATAACTTTGAATTCCTTTCCGCTGGGCCAAGTGTTTCTCGCGGATCCCAGTTGCTTAGTATCCAGGGCCACAGCTGTAAACTACTACGCTCTGCGTTCCACTCCAGCTCAGGCTATCGCTATCTGATGAGCCCAAACCAGGACGAAACCGCGGTCGAGCTGTGCCAGTGTAGCGAGGTGCAACACCCAAATTTTTCCATGTCTGCTATTTGCCCATGATCTAAAGATATGGCGCATTATCACTACAGTGGAGGATCACACAGCCCTACAGGACAACTTAGATAAAGCGTACACAGTCCATCGAGCACATGCAACAGTTCAAGGCCACCAAGTGTAAACTTATGAGGACACGCTGTCGAAGTATTCACAACTACTGCCTATGGCCACAACTGCTACATAGGGCTTCTCAAGTGTATGATCACGACGTGCTCGTGCATGATGACCATGATTGTTTGAAGCAGACTGAAAAGGCATCAAAGAAAACAAACCGACACTTCGGCCTTCTTCGTAGAGCTTTCGGAGAAGTTTCACGCCTCAGTCTTTCCGAAAACGCTTGGCGCGCACGTGAGGCCCCACGCGTTATACGCTATCTATTCGTGACAACCCTGGCAGAAGCATCACCTTATCGCACATGATATAGCACAACGAAGGGTGACGAAGTACCTCAGAGGTTTGTACCGCGTTCCCTACACACTCAAGTCGGAAACGTTTAGAATATGCAGCGGACGTTATCGACATCAACTGGGTGATCCCATAATGGTGTATACGGTCCTACGAAGCCATAATCATTTGAAGCACTCGAATCACATGAGTAAGCGGTCATCAGTCTAAGTTGGCCACGCAGTACAGCCGACTGGATTGCCGAGGAAACCATTTCTCCCTGCGGGTGTCACAGCCCCGGAAAGCCATTCCGACGCCCGTAATTAATACCTCCAAGGTATCCTATTCAAAACGCCGTGATGACACCTTGACGCATGTACACTACATGGTATAGTCCAAGACCATCAGATGATGGGATTAGGAAACAACAAACAGTGTACAGTATAATAACCCTCCTAAAAGCCGGGTAGGAATACTCGCACGGGTTTTATTTCAAACCCCTTGGTGGGTCATGTATTTAACTTGTAGTTTTACTGATAGTGTTATTTACTTTGTAATTTTCAACCTAAGTATCCTGCTGGACATGTCAAGCATTCGCTTTTAAACCTGTCATAAACCATTGCTTCATTATCACACATAATTTCCCAATGCTGGGAGGCTATACAGATGTACAGACGGCTAGTTTCCGCCGCTGCTCGGACATAGCCGCGAATATGTGCCGAGATAATGGCAGTTATTCTCAGCTACCATCCACTGACAGCTTGAGGGCCGCTCTATCCTACTTGACAGCATTCGTCGATGATCAGTAGTAGGGCACCTGGAACTTTCAGCTCCTTCGGGTCATACCGTCTAGGTATAAGTCACTGATATTCCGTTATTTATAAATACGACTGAAGAAAGAGACGTGATGATTGTCATTGATTGACCCAAACATAGGTTTTCGCGGCTGCCAGGGTCGTGTGTTTGGCTACTACACTGGTCGTCACCATCTACTCCACAATTAGACTATAGCATGGCAAGTAACACAATATGTTTAGCGAGGCGGAAGGCAGTGATTGTCCGGAGGACAGAAAGACTAGGAAAACGGGGACGGCCAGAAACGGGAACAGGCGCAATGAGGGAGAGCAGATGCAGCTACGCTGGTCTGACGAAAGGAGATGAGAACGGGTCATGAGCGGCGACCGCTAGTGAGTCTGAACCAAGCAGAACAGAAAGGGTATTTGCCGAAAACGCAAGAAATCAGACAAAGGAGTCGTTATTGTAACCCCCAGGTCCGACTCCAAGCAGAGTGATGTATCCACGATTAAGCAATTCAGGAGATTTCGTAAGACTCTGGGCGGATCGGAATGGAACGAGTAGACGCGGAGATGCTGGGCTGAAATGGGCAGGGTATATTCCACCCCGAAGTCCCGAAATTTCTTAGACGTGTAGGGAACGGACGCTAGGAGAGATGATGCGTCGTGGGAGGGAAACGTAAGTCATTTATTTGTGCATGTGTGAGTAGTTGGATAGCTTGTGATTGCGTCAAGGTAGATTGTGCTTTAATGCCCCTCCTTCTTGCTAGGCATATTTGCGAACGGTTAATCTGTTAATTCTTTCTGCAAAAATCTCACTCTACCGGTGAAGATTTTAAACCAGAGTACAAAATAGTATTCGAAGTGCATTCGGATAAGTGCGTGTTCGCAAGCACAATGTTCCACTGTTGTCCGAGCAGAATGCAATCACATTTGAAGATGCCTTTCTACTTTTCCAATGAATTTCTGTGTGTTTGCGGTTAAGCAAATGGGATACAATCATGATGAGGGGTTCCCTGCGATCTAGTTTACCAAACTTTGAATGGTAATTTATTAGTGATGATTAAGTGTCTATGAAGAATTGGCTTATCGATAAGGACTCGAAGAAAATGCGGTGTTCTAAGTTTGTGCCATGAACAAGTTAGCTTCACTTTTTGAAAGACACACCAGATGTGCTTCATATTATCTTTATGCTCTTTGGAATACGAACAGACGAAGAGTTTCGAAATGGGTATGCCATGAATTTTATTGAAACAGCTGGCGTTAACTGGTCTGCGTCTTGCATTCGAACCACAACAAACAGGGGCGGCGAATCAAAATTTAACCGTCCATCCACCACAGTTTGTGTCAACCGGTGGAGGTGGGGATAGGGCAAAATATTTATGCTTACGCACGGATGTTTCCACACCATCCAATCGCCCAATTATCTGCCTCTCATTCTTAGGATACTGGAGGCCTTTGTCATCGACCGACAGCTGTCACCGTTACGTGTGCAGTAGTACCAATTGCTGAATCTAAACCTGCATGTTTATGGTTAAGCCCACCGACTGGCTACTACTTGGTTAACTGTCGATCCAGACTGACAGCGCCTACGTTTATTTATCCTAGGTTGCACCTTTGTGATAGATGAGAATGCCCGAATTCCCAAGTACCGCTCGAATGAGGTATTCCTTTTTCTTGATTAGAAATACAGTGGAATTGCTTGTGTGAACACTGACAAAAACGATGAATTGTACTGGTTAGTACAAAACGACACACACAAAAATGACCTTTGAACAAGCGATGATAAGTTGTTAGTGATGTGACGCCCACTGTCAGTGCGGAACTTCAGATGACTGTGCATTATCTAAAGAAAATAATGATGAAAATAACCAAACAAAGGTAATACCGTATGAAGCATATTTAAATGACTGGCAAGATCATCAGGTATGAAGCACAGCGTGTTGCTTCTGGTGCGCGGATGACTTTCGGTTTCATATTTTCATGGCGTGACAATCCATAAAGCATAGTAGGCGGAATGTACAAGCACCGCGGCCAACATGTTGCAAGTGAGTTTCGGTGCTGAATTTGAGTGGGGACCAAGAAGCAAAGGAGTGAAGATGTTTGTAATTACACTTGTAGAACGCAAAAGCTCGAACAGTTGCAAATAGTCGATGGAATGAGTTGTCAGTGTCTGAATGCCCTAGCTTGGGGATGTAACAGGGGCTTAGGAACGTGGCACAAAATCCTGAAGTATCATATGAAAACACGAAAGCAGGTTAAAGTTCCATGCCATGCAAAACATCCGTAATTTAGAAGCCGTTTAAGGTTGCAAGAAGTAAAAAGCATACGGATTCATACTCACCCCAGGAATTGGTGTGTTCTGGTATCGTCGTCACGCTTCCCTCAGGGTAGTGGGTAGTTGTTGGCGTCAAGGTTTTCTGCCCGTCTGCTCTCCGCGAGATTGATTAAATAGATACGTGCAAACAAAGAAATCAGCTATTGATTTTAGAAACCATATTCTTTAGCCCATTGTAAGATACATGAATTATCATAACCGCATAATAATAACAACCGTGGAATCAGTTAGATTGCCGCGCCGCATAAGATTGTACCTGTTCTCTTGGTTGTGAAAGCAGCGCTGGAACTGATCATTCTATCAAAACAATAAGGTTGCATAAATTTGTGGTCGAGAAAAAAGCTTTGCCTCTGAGGACGGTAAGGCTTGCAGATTTATTAAAAAGTCACAAGATGGAATACAGACAGCATGCGTTCCTGATACTTTGTAGTCATCTGTATTCTACTTCAACCTATCCGGTCATTTATGGACAACTTGAACGTCAAACATACGCAACTAATTTGGGACTTTCTAACGCTCACCTTAAGAAGCATTTGCGCAGTGTACACTTTCTTGTCTATACCCCATACGGGTAATGTCATTCTTCTTAACTTTGAACACACAATTCCACGGGCATTGTCCCTGCGCACAGCCAGCATATTTAATAAAGTCGGGCCATTAATGGATGGTGTGTAAAGAGCAGAAATATTTGTGGTATCCTATGTGATAAAGTAGTGGAAACATTAGCAAAACAGCAGGATTCGGATTGGGAACGACGCGACAGTGTTTGAATACCTCCACTTTACTTACCTCTGTTTGTGCCACTGAGAGTCAAATGAATTGCACAACGACGCAGCATTTACCTTACCTGTTGTCGGGTTACCTACCGAGTGTTGAAACGGAAGCAAGTTTGTCACAAATAAACCTGAATTCATTGCGTGAAGGCCCACTTACACTGCTCATGAGCCCCCGCAAGCCATTCACTGGAATGGTCTTTGATTTTCCTATTATTCAGAGCGCATTAATACACTGGCCTCATCATGTCGAATGTTCGCTGTTCAGTCGGGCCAACTACACTCAGTGTCAGAGGCTACGGTGAAATTAGTTTGTGTTGGACCACTCCAAGTCTGTTTTGTTTATCAGGTCCATGTAGTCGTCATCAGTTATCGTGTGTAGCGTTGGACTCCGTCTGAGCACGATGAGTACCCAATTAGTGTTTTATTTTGTACATTGAATAGACGGGCTTGACTGCTTTGACTGCTGCCGCTAGCCTTTCACAGATCAAGTTCCAACCGTAAGTTGTTTTCCAGATACAACTTGTATACATTTGTACAGCTACCGTGAAATACAAAAGTTCCACCTCGGGATGTTGTCTGCGTGACCCTCTGAGACAATACCTACATGCGCCAGGAGTACGTTAATTCCATTTACAATCCTCGAAACATCGTTTGCATTCATGTTCTCACGGCCTAACACACGGCGAAGCCGAATTAACTCACCGCGCTCACCCAACACACCATTTGATCCACACACAGACGTCAGAACAGCGTTTGACTACGCCTGCGCGACAAAATCCGTGACAAGCATTGTCGATTGAGGAGGCACTTATTCCCACATACACTCAAGCATGGAACATTATTGGGACATATCAATACAACAGCATCGATGAAAGCCTTCAAAGGGGACCTGTACTGATGCATATGAAATGCTGACTTCCACTAAACGCTACAATGGGTGTATCGGAAACAATGCATTATAGTGCCTCTGTAAGACAGGTTCGAATGGCACAATAGCGTAGGTAATACAAGGTGTTTGGAAACCAGACAGATGAGTTTGTTCCTGATTTCAATCAGCCGTCACTAACAACTTACTGATCCTCACTTGATGGACTACAGCCTATAACATTGGTACTTTAAACAGATACTTAAGTGCGACATGTGTGGGTGAGTTCTGTGTCCAGATTTTATACTATACACACTTAGCAGCATGATACATCCTGACGTGGGATAAATATACAATTTCTCAGTTGCTAACATCCTTAACGCAATCACTTACATCCTTAGTGCAGAAGCTATCATTCTTAGTGCAGAAAGTATCATACTTAGTGCAGAAGCTTTCCTACTTAATGCAAAGGCTATCATCCGATTATCATCCACGTAGCACTGCATGGGCAGAGACTATCAGTCAATAGAATTCGGTATAGCGTATCGACTGTACACAGTTACGCGCAGAATACTCACGCTTTCGGAGGTGGGTAGGAAAACTGTGAGACTTGGGTGAGACTAGCGTGGTCCAACTCAAATGGACGACAATTGAGACTTTACTAAACGGAGCTCAGCCGGTGCACAGTGCGCCGCGCCCCCTCGCTGGACAATGAAGGTGTCTGAGACATCCATTGGAGCGCGCACAGTCCCTAAGGGAAGGGAGACGGGTGTGCTCAGAGAACCGGGTATAAGCCTGAAGTGTAGTCAAACCCGTTTTGTAAGTGAGCAAAGGAGATGTCTGAGGCTAGGGTGCGATTAATGCACGCAGGACAACAGTGAACAACGTTGGCTTGGTACTAAAAAGGTGCTCAAAACAAGAGGCGAGGACTGGTTGTCAAGTTTTGGTGGGTATTCAGGCTAGTTCAGTCGGATAATTGAAGACGCAGTAGAAGCTACGTTTGACCTCGAAGCCAAGTTGTCCGCAACATAAGGAGTGGAACGAACTCCGTCGCAGCAGAATGGGTAAAAAATACTACACGTAACCTCTTTCTTTATGTGATGAAATAGCAATTTGTGCCGGATCCACAGGTCCAAGTTGAACGTGGAGTAGAAGGTAATCATATTCCAAACAATTCGCCCCCTACGAGGCACACAGGTCAAATCTGATCGAGGTACACAGGACAGCTCACGGGTGGAATGATATAATCGCCAATAGAGCGATGAAGGAGGCATGTGGTAGATATTTGATTGCAGCCTTGCAATTTCCTTTCAAAGGATATG